GATGGTAGCTATCAATATCTGCAGATAATAAACATATTTTTAAAAAGAAATTTGACCACCCATGACCTCCTGGGTCATCCTTCCAAAAATATTTCTTTACCAGATTCCTCAATGCCTTCAACAATGACAAACTTCTAGTGCACTACCTTCAGTAGATACATTCAGGGATGTAGCTGTTTTGAAAATAGCACATGTACATATTAGCACATGTAACAACCAGCACCGGAAATGTTTTATGACATTTGTCTTATGTTATAAACTGTTTTATGATGATGTTTATGTCAGAAAATGTTTTATAACATTTGCCAAATTTCATTTCCATAACAGTGACAGGTCTCAGATTTTGGACACATTCTCTAGGTTAGCCCATTTGAGGTACAGGTAGTTCTCAACTTATGACCAAAATTGAGCTCAAGATTTTTGTTGTTAAGTGAGAAATTGGTTAAGTGAGTTTTGCCCCATTTTACAAGCTTTCTTGACATAGTTGTTAAGTGAATCACTGCTGCTGTTACTAACATGGTTGTTAAGTGAATCTGGTTTGTGCACTGACTTTGCTTGTCAGAAGTTCACAAAGGTGACCATATGACCCCAGGACACTGCAACCATCATAAATATGAACCAGTTTCCAAGCATCTACAGTTTGATCACGTGACCAAGGGGATGCTGCAACGGTCATAAGTGTGAAAAATGGTCATAAGTCACTTTTTTCAGAGTCATTGTAACTTCAAATGGTCACTAAATGAACTGTTGAAAGTCGAGGACTATATGTACCTTGGTTCAAAAATTGTTGCCTATGATGCACCATTTTGCCTAGTTAAAGAATGGAAATTTTAATAGTATATAGGTCTACATTTCTAAGCTTAAAATGGATTTTTTTGAACAAGCAAAATGATGCTGTTTTTACTTTTGTTTATTGTATATGCAACTGTCTTAATTCTGGTGAATAAAATTTGTGTTGTATAGAGATGGCTTTTGTAGCATATAGATTCTTGTTTGTAAATTAACTATTGTATATTTAATTTTTCTACACAGTTTTAATTTAGCATTGTTAATATAATATAGCTATTTCATTCTGTTCTATATAATCACTGTAATCTTACTTAGTAATTATTTAAAATGGTTAACCCCTTCAAAGCCTTAGACTGTTGTTTGGAAACTGCTTATGAAACTGAATAATGTCAAAATGTCAGTATTCAAGAATTACTGCTATTAGTTCTGCTGCTATTTAATACTGCTATTAAAAATTGATATTAATCACATTTACCCAGAATCAGTCATTTTAATTCAGTGTGATTCAGTGTAATGTATTTTAAAGTATATGCTTCATACTGGTGCATCTTAAAAAAGCTTTTACTGTCATGGCAAAACATTCATATGCAATTGAAAGATATTAATATTAAAATATTCTTCATATACTTCATATTAAATGTTAAAGTGTTCTTTCTATTTTTCATTACTTCAGATCAAATTCTTTTTTTGTTTACAATTGTGACACTGCTGTTTACTATCTATTATAGCACTTGCCTTTGGCTTCCCTTATGGAAGAGATTGAACATCTGAGGTATCTTACAACTAATTGATTCATTTTAAATGAATCTTAAACTTTCATCTGTATACAGTGCATTCAGACTCCCTTCACTTTTGTCAATTTTGTTATGCCACAGCCTGATTCTACAGTTGTTGAAATTCATTTGTTTCTCAAAACTCAGTACCCCATAATGACAAAGTGAAAACAGAATTTTAGAAATGTCTGTAAATTTATTGAAAAGAAAAAACTGAAATGTCACATTGGCATAAATATTCAGACCCTTCCCTTAGTACTTTGTTGAAGCACCTTTGGCAGCAGTTACAGCCAGGTCTTTTTGGCCATGATACATGCACACCTGGATTGGGGGATTTTCTGCCATACTTCCTTGCAAATCCTCTCAAGCTCAGTCAGGTTGGATGATGACCGTAAGTGGACAGCCATTTTCAGGTCTCTCCAAAGATGTTCAATAGGGTTCAAGTCAGGGCTCTGGCTGGGCTACTCTAGGACATGCACAGAGTTGTCCCTAAGCCACTCCTGTGTTGCCTTGGCTGTGTGCTTAGGATCATTGTCATGTTGACAAGTGAACCTTCGGCCCAGTCTGAGGTCCTGAGTGCTGTGGAACAAGTTTTTAATTGAGGATATCCCTGTACTTTGTTCCATTCAACTTTCCCTCAATCCTGACCAGTCTCCCAGTCCCTGCTGCTGAAAAACATCCCCACAGCATGATGCTACCATCACCATGCTTCACTGCTGGGATATTGGGCAGGTGATGAGAGGTGCCTGGTTTCCTCCAGACATAACATTTAGAATGGAGACGAAACAGTTCAATCTTGGTTTCATCAGACTAGAGAATCTTGCTCCTCAAAGTCTGAGAGTCCTTCAGGTGCTTTTTTGCAAACTCCAAGCGAGCTTTCATGTGTTTTGCACTGAGAAGAGGCTTCCCTCTAGCCACTCTGCTATAAAACCGAGATTGGTGGAGGGCTGCAGTGATGATTGTGTTTCTGGAATTTTGTACCATCTCCACACAGGATCTCTGGAGCTAAGTCAAAGTGACCATCGGGTTCTTGGTCACCTCTCTTACTAAGGCTCTTCTCCGATTGCTCAGTTTGACTGGGCGACCAGCTCTTGGAGGAGTCCTGATTGTGCTAAACGTCTTCCAACTGAGTGTTATTGAGGCCACTGTGCTCTTAGGAACCTTCAGTGCAGCAAAACATTTATTGTAGCTTTCCTCAGATCTGTGCCTTGGAATAATCCTGTCTCTGAGCACTTCAGGCAGCTCCTTTGACTTCGTGGCTTTTGTCCTGCTACAGTAATGCACTGTGAGGCCTTCTATAGAGAGGTGTGTGCCTTTCCAAATCATGTCCAATCAATTTAATTTACTCCAGGTCGACTCCAATCAAAGTGTAGAAACATATTAGTAACAATCAAGAGAACTGAGAGGCACCTGAGCTAAATTTCAAGTGTTGTTGCAAAGGGTCTGAATACTTATGGCAATGTGATAATTCAGTTTTTTCTTTTTAATAAATTTCTATAATTCTGTTTTGACTTTGTCATTATGGGGTACCTAGTGTAGATTAATGAGAAAAAAATGAATTTCAAAAACTGTAGAATCAGGCTGCAGCATAACAACATTGACAAAAGTGAAGGGGATCTGAATACTTTGTGAATGCACTGTATATTTATTTGAATAAATAAATTATATTGCTATAAACATTCACTCTTCCTCATAGTATCTGTATCTGAACTGTCCTTCTTGACCAATATGTATACTGTTAATGAACAATTCTGATTAAAACATATAATATTCCATAAGCAATATTACATTGTGAAATTTACATGACACACATACCATTTGCCACTCTGAAAATATTTTACTAAATATTATTATATGAAAATCCATGTTCAAATGTATCTTTTACTTTTACTTACTTGAATAATTTTTAATGGTGAATCAGACTGGTATAATTGTAGCCTGTGTACGTAATGAACCAGCATATTAAGCATATTGCAAGCCACATGTGCAACTGTTTTATTTGGAAACTGTAAAAAACACAAAGAGAAAATTACTGAATGAATATAGTGATGTTACAGAGTAATGTTTTTATTTATTTTTACCCCACCTTTATTAGCTTTATAAATAATTCAAGGTGGTGAACATACCTAACACTCCTCCTTCCTCCTTTTCTCACCTCAACAATAACCAGTGGTGGGATTCAAATATGGGAACAACCGGTTCTCTGTGTGGATGCTGCTTCCTGAAGACCATTGTGGGCCTGCCGGACTGGTGCGAACTGGCTGAATCCCACCACTGACAATAACCATGTGAGGTGGGTGGGGTTGAGAGAGAATGGCTGGCCTAAAATCACCCAGACAGCTTTCATGCTTAAGGCAGCTTTCATGGTCTTCGAATTTCTAGCTTAGTGCCTTAACCACTAGACAAAAATGGTTCATTTCATTACTATTTTGTGTTGAGAGGAAAAATATACATTCAAAGTAAAAAAAAAAGTGCTCAGGTAAGAATCAAATTTATTTTCCAGTTCTTTTTATTTTTTTATTTTTTATTTTTTAAAAATTTTATTGACAAAACAATTAAAACAAAAAGGGACATGACATGACGTTCCAGTATACATGATCCTAGTAATTCGTTCCTTATCATATTTAAAGTTCTAAATATACATCTCTCTACGTATTAACACATAATTTTATATTCCACAAATTTAAACTTTAACTCAAAACCCGACCAGTTCTTCTTGACTCATACNGATGGTAGCTATCAATATCTGCAGATAATAAACATATTTTTAAAAAGAAATTTGACCACCCATGACCTCCTGGGTCATCCTTCCAAAAATATTTCTTTACCAGATTCCTCAATGCCTTCAACAATGACAAACTTCTAGTGCACTACCTTCAGTAGATACATTCAGGGATGTAGCTGTTTTGAAAATAGCACATGTACATGTTAGCACATGTAACAACCAGCACCGGAAATGTTTTATGACATTTGTCTTATGTCATAAACTGTTTTATGATGATGTTTATGTCAGAAAATGTTTTATAACATTTGCCAAATTTCATTTCCATAACAGTGACGGGTCTCAGATTTTGGACACATTCTCTAGGTTAGCCCATTTGAGGTACAGGTAGTTCTCAACTTATGACCAAAATTGAGCTCAAGATTTTTGTTGTTAAGTGAGAAATTGGTTGAGTTTTGCCCCATTTTAAAATCTTTCTTGACATAGTTGTTAAATGAATCACTACTGTTGTTACTAACATGGTTGTTAAGTGAATCTGGTTTGTGCACTGACTTTGCTTGTCAGAAGTTCACAAAGGTGATCATATGACCCCAGGACACTGCAACCATCATAAATAGGAACCAGTTTCCAAGCATCTATATTTTGATCACGTGACCAAGGGGATGCTGCAACGGTCATAAGTGTAAAAAATGGTCATAAGTCACTTTTTTCAGTGTCATTGTAACTTCAAATGGTCACTAATGAACTGTTGAAAGCCGAGGACTATATGTACCTTGGTTCAAAAATTGTTGCCTATGACGCACCATTTCACCTAGTTAAAGAATGGAAGTTTTAATAGTATATAGGTTTACATTTCTAAGCTTAAAATGGATTTTTTTAAACAAGCAAAATGATGCTGTTTTTACTTTTGTTTATTGTATATGCAACTGTCTTAATTTTATCTGATGAATAAAATTTGTGTTGTATAGAGATGGCTTTTGTAGTGTTTAAGTCATATAGATTCTTGTTTGTAAATTAACTATTGTATATTTAATTTTTCTACACAGTTTTAATTTAGCATTGTTAATATAATATAGCTATTTCATTCTGTTGTATATAATCACTGTAATCTTACTTGGTAATTATTTAAAATGGTTAACCCCTTCAAAGCCTTAGACTGTTGTTTGGAAACTGCTTATGAAACTGAATAATGTCAAAATGTCAATATTCAAGAATTACTATTAGTTCTGTAAAAATTGATATTAATCACATTTACCCAGAAGTCAGTCATTTTAATTCAGTGTGATGCAGTGTAATGTATTTTAAAGTATATGCTTCATATTGGTGCATCTTAAAAAAGCTTTTACTGTCATGGCAAAACATTCATATGCAATTGAAAGATATTAATATTAAAATATTCTTCATATACTTCATATTAAATGTTAAAGTGTTCTTCCTATTTTTCATTACTTCAGATCAAATTCTTTTTTTGTTCACAATTGTGACACTTCTGTTTACTATCTATTATAGCACTTGCCTTTTGCTTCCCTTATGGAAGAGATTGAACATCTGAGGTATCTTACAACTAATTAATTCATTTGAAATGAATCTTAAACTTTCATCTGTATACAGTGCATTCAGAAAGTATTCAGACTCCCTTCACTTTTGTCAATTTTGTTATGCCACAGCCTGATTCTGTTGAAATTCATTTGTTTCTCAAAACTCAGTACCCCAGTACCCTCAGTACCCCATAATGACAAAGTGAAAACAGAATTTTAGAAATGTCTGTAAATTTATTGAAAAGAAAAAACTGAAATGTCACATTGGCATAAATATTCAGACCCTTCCCTTAGTACTTCGTTGAAGCACCTTTGGCAGCAGTTACAGCCTTAGGTCTTTTCGGCCATGATACATGCACACCTGGATTGGGGGATTTTCTGCCATACTTCCTTGCAAATCCTCTCAAGCTCAGTCAGGTTGGATGACGACCGTAAGTGGACAGCCATTTTCAGGTCTCTCCAAAGATGTTCAACAGGGTTCAAGTCAGGGCTCTGGCTGGGCTACTCTAGGACATGCACAGAGTTGTCCCTAAGCCACTCCCCTGTTGCCTTGGCTGTGTGCTTAGGATCATTGTCATGTTGGCAAGTGAACCTTCGGCCCAGTCTGAGGTCCTGAGTGCTGTGGAACAGGTTTTTATTGAGGATATCCCTGTACTTTGTTCCATTCAACTTTCCCTCACTTTGACCAGTCTCCCAGTCCCTGCTGCTGAAAAACATCCCCACAGCATGATGCTACCATCACCATGCTTCACTGCTGGGATGATATTGACCAGGTGATGAGAGGTGCCTGGTTTCCTCCAGACATAACATTTAGAATGGAGACGAAACAGTTCAATCTTGGTTTCATCAGACCAGAGAATCTTGCTCCTCAAAGTCTGAGAGTCCTTCAGGTGCTTTTTTGCAAACTCCAAGCAAGCTTTCATGTGTTTTGCACTGAGAAGAGGCTTCCGTCTAGCCACTCTGCTATAAAACCGAGATCGGTGGAGGGCTGCAGTGATGATTGTGTTTCTGGAATTTTGTACCATCTCCACACAGGATCTCTGGAGCTAAGTCAAAGTGACCATCGGGTTCTTGGTCACCTCTCTTACTAAGGCTCTTCTCCAATTGCTCAGTTTGACTGGGCGACCAGCTCTTGGAGGAGTCCTGATTGTGCTAAACTTCTTCCAACTGAGTGTTATTGAGGCTACTGTGCTCTTAGGAACCTTCAGTGCAGCAAAAAATTTATTGTAGCCTTCCTCAGATCTGTGCCTTGGAGTAATTCTGTCTCAAAGGCAGCTCCTTTGACTTCGAGGCTTTTGCCCTGCTACAGTAATGCATTGTCAGCTGTGAGGCCTTCTATAGAGAGGTGTGTGCCTTTCCAAATCATGTCCAATCAATTTAATTTACTCCAGGTCGACTCCAATCAAAGTGTAGAAACATGTTAGTAACAATCAAGAGAACTGAGAGGCACCTGAGCTAAATTTCAAGTGTTGTTGCAAAGGGTCTGAATACTTATGGCAATGTGATATTTCAGTTTTTTCTTTTTAATAAATTTCTATAATTCTGTTTTGACTTTGTCATTATGGGGTACTGAGTGTAGATTAATGAGAAAAAATGAATTTCAAAAACTGTAGAATCAGGCTGCAGCATAACAAAATTGGACTACTGTAATGCCCTCTACATGGGGCTCCCTTTGAGGAGCACCCGGAGGCTTCAAATGGTCCAAAATGCGGCCGCGCGGGCGGTGTTGGGAGGGACTCGTCGCTCCCATGTGACACCGCTGCTGCGCGAGCTGCATTGGTTACCAGTGGCCTTCCGGGTGCGCTTTAAGGTATTAGTTACCACCTTTAAAGCGCT